GGTCTAACAGACATAACTAGGCAGGAGGCTAATTCAAAAACCTAATGGTTCATTTAGCCTCCAATCTTATCAATATAAGATTACAATAATTGTCGCCTTAACTGTAACATGCTACATATATTAAATATACTTCAAATGTTAAAAATTCATATTTGCATTGAGAAAATAAACATGTTGTTGTTGTTGTCCTATATCACAGTCCTCAATCGTTTATAACACAATGCTTGAATTTGATTGGTTCTCAGGACACCTTATTAACAGCTAACATGAAGAGCATGAACAGCTTTGATGTTTCATGACAGCTGGTCACTTACAACTGCTTGTAAGTTGACACATGTTGCCAACTTAAAGGGACACAGTCAGCTGGAGCACATGCGCATTAAATGCCATTTCATCTAGCTAATTTGCATATCACAGAGACACGATCCATACTGTTTTTAACCAAATATGATAAAAATAGTATCATAAAAAGAGCAAAAGCACACTCAAAAACAGGCTATTCAGTAAACAATTGAAAATCAAGCAAAACACTGTGAAGATTGAAGTGGATGTACTTTGATTTCAGGTTGAGGTGAACTTTTTTCAAAGTGAGAAAACTAGTGTCCAGGTCAGCGCAGTCCCAAAGCTGTGTCCCTTTAAGATCCCAGTAAACTTAGATGGTGAAGTTTCAAGAAACAAAAAAGAAATTTATCCTCCTTTGCCATCAAAAAGCTTCAGAAACATTTCATAGTAATAATTATTTCAGCTTAATTTTGGCATTGATTGATTGAACATGTATAATTCAGTGGTACTTTCATCTGATTGGGTTTGCACTTACTGCGCCTTTCAATAAAATGTGGACTCTAAAATTCAAAGCTCAACCGACAATGTGTTTTTCACTACCACCAATCAAAGGCTTGGCAGCTCTTCCCAGCTTCAGACTACTGCCAAGCGCACTCTAATCAAATCGAATCGTTGAGTACAGTTCAGACAACATAGTCAGAAGAAGGGAGGAGTGGCCGAACAGTTAATTGATGGTAGCAAAAAACGCATGTTGGTTGAGCTTTGAATTTTAGAGTCCACATATTATTAAATTAATAAAAGGCGCAGTAACAACAAAGAAAAAACACAGGGGGAGATTATTTAACAATCTGCTCCCAAACAAGTATGCTCTGACACTCCTAGGTACTAAACAATCCAAGCTTTTAAACAGTCTGAGTCCAACGATAACGTTTTATTTTTGTTTTGGTAGGACTGAATAATTAGCCGTATAAGACTGGTAATCTGTTTTGTTGCATTATTTTGAACCAGGGCTATCAAAAATGGAATGGCACAGGGGGGAGAAGCTGATGAAAGTGCATGGAGTGGTTGAAGATCAGAAGAGACGAGGGACATCAAGGCAATGACAATTTGATGATGGTGATGATGATGATAATGATGATCAGGATGATAATGACAAAAATGATGATGACAGAGATGACGACAAAGGCAATGATGAAGATGTCCATGATATTTCCTAATAGTCTATCCTAAAAATATTACAAGACTGACCCTATATGAGGATGACTTCTTTCCTACAGTAATCATTATTCAATCTACACCAAGTCAAGCATGAAAATTAAATACTGATGAGTAATCATTTAGTTAATCAACAAGAGAAAATACTCAAATCCATGTATAATTACTGCACTTATCACCTGATCACTGAAAATTATTAGCTTCAGATCTCGAATGCAAACTTCTCTCACTTTTTGGAGTGAAGTGGATGACTGTGAACTAAGCCTGGCCTGTCCTGTTTCTAAACATATCACTCTTAGAAGACAGACAAATTCCAAAACACTAAAAAGTTGAAGACTATAAGGGCTACATACAGTCTTAATAGAACAGTATGTTGAAGAAAAAAGCTTCAAAAATCAAGAGTGTAAACAATACTATTGCAAAAACTGAATTATCAAAACAACATTTATCCCAAAGAAAATAAACCAAATATGGCCTCCGGTTGAGATTACCAAATATGTAGAATGATTTACAAAGACTATAGCTTTCATATGATAATTTTATTATAAAAACTTAATAGAACTTAGACTATGAATTCACATTTTCTTACTAGAGGTATTAATCAAGCAAGCTGTGGTGAGGACAAGGAATCTAAATAGTTTAATTGATGCAGCAAGACACAGCTGTCACACATAAAATATTTAGATGTGAGTTAAGGTCAAAACTAGCAACAACATAGGTGCATTATGGTGGTCTATTAGCATGCCATAAAATTATCTTCACAAAGCCGGGGCCAAACAGCCCTAAAAACAAAGACATGGGGCTGTTTGGCCCCGGCATGACTGGACCCCTAGGCTATTTATTTCTAACACATTTGATGGAGGTAGGGCTTAACAGAGGGATGGCATATTCATTTAGCAAAATGCTGGCATGTTAAAAGTTTACCATTCAATTTCTCTGTACAATGCTAACGTCAGTGAAGTTGCTCCAGTTCTTTTTTAATAATGAAGTATCAGTAATTATTGTTCCCCCTCATCTCTTGCAAAGCAGGTGTTTGAGAAAAATACATGTAACTATGAGTAAACTGCATTTTCATAAATACATAGCCTCCATTTGGCATGAACACAAGCTCAGATATTTATCTTCAGATATTATCTGCTTTGAGAGGCAAACAGTTTTCTGAGAACATAGTTCAAGGAAAACTGTGAGCTTTGAGGAACAGGTATATGCCCAAGGACATATATAGGAGCATATTTTCGCGCCTAATGGAGGCTATTGTTTGTCCTTCAAATATTTTACGCAACACATTCAGTTTTGAAAATTGGTGAATATCACTCAGACTTTCCCCAGTTTTAGCTGTAGCATATTCAGTCGTGCCACGTTAGAACCAATCGCACAGTCAAGCAAAAATATTTGATGAATTATAAGCATGTATGTGTATTTCTCTCTGGATTGGTACTGCCACATTAAACAAAATATGCATTGGCAATTTTAACACAGTCCATTGTTTAGCGTTTTGGCTGTGAAGGAAATAGGGGTGGGGTGGGATGGGGTGGTGGCGGGTTCATAAATTTCTTGCTCCAAAGGGAGGGGGCTCATTACTGAGGTGGGTGATTTACGGTGGCAAACAGTGAGAAAACCAATCACGTTATTAGGATAGTGGGCTATTGAAATGCGAATAAACCACAGAATTATACATGTCAAACAATTCCTTCCTCTCAACTATTCTTCTCTTATTAAAGATTAAATAAAATAGCTGATTATAATATCTACCCATTAACGTGTTTTGTCTCTAATGTGATATCTATACATAAAGATCAATAAAGACTTAAAATAGAAGTTGATCTACATACCATTACAGTGTAAGTTTTCTCTCACCGGTCACTTTAAAAGAAGGCTCGCAAGATAACCTACATAAAATAAGTTACTTAGGGTAAAAAATTTGAGTACCAACAAAGTTGCAAAAAAGAAGTATTCACCTGCAAATTTCTCTTTTACAACGTACGCCATGCTCGCCGCCATATTTTAAACTTAGCCCTGCCTGTTGCCTCGTTCTGGCTGAGCGATATGATTGGCCCCTCGGCCTGTTTTGCCCGAGTCGCGTCAAATTCGAATCACACAAAGAAGAAATCGGCGATGGCTGCAGGTTGTGTTTACTGGCTTGCTGGACACAATTTGAACGAAATTTCAAAAACCCTGGAGGTATTCAGGGATCACGATGGATGGAGAGGTGAGATAGTTAATTTTTCTTCCATCCTTCAATCTTTTAGATCAGGTGCATGTTTTGATTAATACCGGAAAGACATCCATTTATACATAATGTTCGTAGGTTTTGACCAAATTCCCCAGAAGATCATGCAAATCGAAAATTCTATGAGCAGATAAATCTCAAGCTTATGCTGAAATAATTTACTTTCTTTTTAGACGATAACGAGACGACGACATATCTTGCTTTTGGATATCAAAGCTCTGAATTTCAAAGTATCTGCGACTCCCTCAAACACGCAAGATTACAAAGACCTGTTGAATTTTTAATAAACTTGTACAGGGAACATGGAACAAAGAAGCCATTCTGTGATTCCATCTTTGATCTGAAGGAACAGCTGATAGCTCTTCAACTGGTCATGGCACAACTCAACAAAGAGGTACAGAAACTATTTCATAATTGGTCCCCTTTAAGAAAAAACAGTGCATGGAAAGTTCTCTTTCTATCACAAAGGCTGGAAAAGACGCAGACGCTTAAAGGGAGAAAAAGGAAGAGGAAGGGGAGGAAATGGAATGACATATCACTTGCTGAGCGAAGATTCAGCATTAAATTGGCATGCAAGCGTAAGCCTATAAATAATTATTAGTGCTCCAGTTTGCATTTTTGCATGAAGATAAGCAAATACATGTTATACTATTAATAGTTATTTTTTCTGAACTCCAAACTAAACTGGAGAGGATTGAGATGACAGCAAAAACAGTGATTTCAACTATCCCGTTTAGGAAACAGGAGAGTTCACAGTGAAAATACAAGATGTCCTAGATGCACACAAAGCTATCATGAAATCCAAGTTATCTATGGATGATGACGATGATGGCGACACAATCACAAAGTTGTGTACTGCCTATAATAAGTTTTTGTCCCACTGCAACGCCGTAGACTTTGCCGATGTCTTTCAGAGAGTGAAGACATATTTTATTGTGGACAGTAATCTTAAGGACATGTTCCAAACATCTCATCAGTTTGTTCTGTTTGGGAAACCCAAGACAGAACTGGAGGTGAGTGCTAAGCATTACCCAAATTACTTTTATTGTTTCCCTGTCAGTGGCTAACTTGCATTCAGGAATGTAACACAGAAGCAGCCAGGCTACATCAAATGTTAAGGGCTAAAGGGGGGAGGGGCGGGGGGGAAGGGGAGAGAGAGTACGAGGGGATATCCCCATCACCTCAGCAGCTCACACATATCTTCCTTCTGAGCTAGTTGAAGCTGCAGTGACTGCTCATCAAATGTTAGCCAGAAGGTGGCTGGCAAACTTTATACAGGCCGTACAAATGTTCTTTAACCAGCTAGTAACCAAGATAAAACAGCATAGCAACGCAGTAAAGTTAATATCTCCCTAGTACAGACACTTGCCTAGAGTATAGTGGACAGTTTATTGGTCCCACAAAAAAAAAGAAAAGAGAGTTCTCATCTCTGTCTCAGTCTATAAATATGATCACCTCCATAAAACTGACACTCAGCTTACCCTTTTGGAAAAATCTTTCACTTGGCCAAACCTATGATTTCATTTGCCTTTAAATCAAAGATCAGATACCAAGATTTGAGATCAAGTTTTATGCTAACATGATTACATTGCAAAATTCTTAGCGACAAATCCTTCTGCTGGTTGTTGGAAACAGAACAATGATGTGCTTTACAGGGAGAGAAGGTAAATTGCAAATGAAAGATGGCCTTCATATATAAGGGCCTTCAAATTGATGGAGGGGTATACAGTACAGTGTATATCTTAATTTCACACTTGCAGTTAATACAAAATCCTACTTTTCATACTAAAGACAAGCACAAGTTTGAGATGGACTTATGTAATAGAGTGAAGTAAAAAGTTTGTTTTTTCCCCTTTGCACTAAACATACAGTGTATTACATTCAATCTAAGGAGGCCATTGACTCTTGTTGTGCCTGTACTCATGAGGTGACTTTGGTTATAAATTTTCATCGAATGATCTTTTATTTCTCATTCTGCCTCTCTTTCTTCTTCAAACATGCAGATTGTAATCATTTCCTATCTGAGAAAACAGTACATTTGTTCCTGCGTGGAGGGTCAGAAGTTAATGCAGACCAGTCACCAGATTCTCCAATGCAAAGGATCTGCAAGCCAAATGTGACAGTTAAATGTCATGAAGAGGTGGCTAAGGTAAAGCAAATGTTTTAGTTCGGAGGTTTTGTCCTGGTTCCACTTGGGAGCTTCAGCTACAAACAAAGCCGAAGAAAGAGAGCAAATTACTGTCTTGCAGTGTTCAACCCATCTGTACAGCTCATTTGAACTACATGTATGTGACAGTAGCATCCCCCTGAAAGTTGTAATCCTCCAAAAGTGAGACTCACTCTGATTGGAAAAGGGTGCTTCAGTATCTAAAAATTAATAATTACTTTTGGGTGTAATACTCATTAGTTGATCATCCATTCATTGATTTTAATGTTACTTTTACAGGATCAATTGCTCAAGGTTTTGCTTAGCTACCTCAGGCTTCTGGTCAATTCCAGAGACGAACTAGCCCTCTCTCAAGCCATCAACATACCCTACAGAGAATTAGCTCACAAGCAGTTCACAGCACTCAGGAAAGTGGCAAGAGAGAAAAACATGCCCATGTTTCAGGTATCAACAAGCTATGTATTAGCATTATGGCATGCTTTAATCCAGGACTTGAAACTTGGCATTCAAAATTTCCATTGGATTTGGCTAATAAAAGCTAAATAATAATTACATTGAAGCAACATGTCATGTACAGACCATGAAAGAGGTGTCTACTTGTGAGTGGGCAGAACTGCTTTACAGAATTGTACAGTAAGTGTCTGGAAGTAAACAAATGATCAAAATGTGATGTTGCACCAAGTCAGTCTTCCAAGACTTCCGTGGCATCATAATTTTTCTTTTCTCCTTCCTGTAGACAGCTGTGTCTTTTATTCTGAGAATACGTCTGGGTGGAAAGAGTTATGCACCAAGTGATGACAACCCACTTCTCCCTTTAACTAAGGTAAGTGTACACGCCTGATTATGGATAATCTGCGCCAGTGTTATTGCATTAAAATTCAAAATGATAAAAACTTTCCCTTGCAAAATAAAAAACTTTGCCATCAGGAAGTAGTAGTTTACAGTACTAATACTGTCATGCCAATACCATCATGGCTCTAACTGACCAATCACAGTCAATGGACCAGACTTAAAACGCCATTGACTAACAAACACTATTCCCTTGACTCTGAAGATAACTTCTGCTCAGGTTATTGAAACGTCAATCACCAACAACAGTTCTTTTCAGAACTACCGTCACCTGGACAATCACACTATATGAACTACTGATACTCCTGGGTTCAAACCATTTAAAATATAAAATAATACCACTAATGAAAATTTTGATTTTTACAATATTGTAGGGTCTTGGTGAATTTGTAACCTTTTTCCAAAAGTTGCAAAATGTCTGTGAAGAAACAGCTGATGCAAAGTAAGAATATCCATAAGATTGTGTACTTTGTAGTTACAAACTACAATCTATAGCTATGTTTAAATTACCTTTTCATTGGTTATGCTGAGACCACAGATGTGCAAAGTTTACGTTACATATTTAGGACACCTTTCCTAGGGCAGATCTGGGGGGGGGGGGTTCTCGGGGGTTTGGCTGAACCCCCTAAATTTAAAAAACTGAGATTTTGACACACTGACCTCTGAGGACTTCAATTTTAAAAATTTTCTGGGGAAGGATGCCTGCCCTCCCCCCCACCCCACCCCGATGCTTGTACAGGGAACTGCCTTCAGTGGTCTGTATCTCGAGCACCCTTCCATAAAATCCCAAAGATCAACTTGAGCAGTTCTCCAACAAAAAAAAGCTGTCGTAGCTGGGACAAACTCTAAATAGATCTTTCTTATATTAAATTAATGTTTTATTTTTACATTGCACTTTTTTTTTTCAGAGATGCCATCTTTCGAATTATTAAAATGCTTAAAGTTAGTATTACAAAATCCAAGGAAAAAGTTTTCACAAATGAATGCATTGGTGAAGTCATGGAATCCCTGCAACAAAAGGTAGAACAACTAAGCAGTGAAAGTTCTGGTACTGACAAGATTGCATCCACCATGGTTGGAATGAAGGTGTATCTCTTGATTCAGGCCCTGCTGGACCAACAAGTGAAGAAAACATGTCTACAGGATTATCAAGCAAGTGATGTGAGCTGTGCACTGATGACCCCAGAAACAACTCACAGAAAATCTAAAGTACGCTCGATGCTCAGCCAATTCAGGTAATGTTAGGCAATATTACTGTGCCTTTCAACATCATGCAGACTCTAAAATTCAAAGCTCAACTGGTAATGTGTTTTTCACTACTGTCAATCACATGTTCAGCAGCTCCTCCCAGCTTCCGACTACTGCTGAGCTCATGGTAATCATATCGTTGAGCACAGTTCAGACAACGAAACAGTTCTGAGCAGCAGTCACAGGCTGGGAGGGGCTGCTGAACATTTGGTTGTTGGTAGCGAAAAACGCATTTGTCGGATGAGCTTTGAATTTTAGAGTCTGGATGTTATTGAAAGGCGCAGTAACGCTCTCATCATGAGAAAAAAGCATTAAATAAAGTTCAGTTCAGAATTTAAGAATAATATTACAGAAATTTAAACAGAAAGTTTTGATTAGTGATTTTGTTACATGTACATATATTTGTGGCTAGAACCCCTGATCTTGAATCTCAAGAGGAAGCTGTAACACCAACAAAGAAGCAGCCACTAAAGCTTAAAGCAGAAAAGGTAAGTACTGTAAAATGGCCTTCAGATTTTAGTACACAGTAAATATGTTTACTTGGTACTTATCATAGATGATACTGGTAGATAATTAGTATTTACAGGTTTGTGCGTCCTACGCAGTGTTCCAGATAAGTGAGGGGTCTCAGGTCAAAAACCCAACAAGGTCAGCTACATATTAAACAAATTTACAGAAAATTTATTACTGATTTAGTGGGAGCAGTGGGAATTGACCATTGGAATTCCTTATTGACACCCTGCTATGAAGACTTACCTGGAACCCTGCCTATGCATAAAGAATAGGTCAAGACTGTTCAAGCCCAGGGTGTGGAAGCTAGGTTGAGTTCTAGTGCAATACACTTAAATATTTAAGTCTCACTGCACCTGACAAAATGCCTGCAGGTCTAGGTTTTGGCAGGGGGGGGGGGGAGGGGGCTATGTGCAAATTAATGGCCTAGCATTCCACTCAGGGTGAGAAGGGCAATGATAGTAATAACTGAAACTTGCTTACAAGTGCCTTTGATCTTTTCAGCAGAAACAGTTTGACAGCTACAGAAAAGTGTGTGGTGACATGAGCTGGGCAAAACCTGCTGTCAGTATCAAGATAGGACCGAGTCCTGCCACCAAGAGGGACCAGATGATGGATGCTGCGATCAGCACTGATATAATATTGTCCCGAAAGAACTGCATTATCGAAGAATGCACTGAAGGTACACCAAAGTACCACAGCAAGAAAAGAACTCTAAAAGAATCTATGTATGACAAAGAGAACAAACCCAGTGAAGACAGCATTGATAGAGAAGTTTCAAAACCACCTGCAAAACGTATCCTCCTTGAAAGAGACACAACTGGAAAAAAGAACTCCAAAAGCAAAGTTACAGGGAAAGCAAAGTCAAACAGAAAACAGATTAAATTATTACAAGGGCAAAGACAGCTTACTAACTTTTTTCGGTAATTGAGTGGATGTCTAATATAACATTATCATGGAATTTAATATCTCAGTCACGACATCTAAGAATATTGTCATGTACAAGCAACTAACAATCTTTGATTTTTATCGAAACATTCTAAAACCACTTTGCAGCTGTTTTAACTAAAGGCTTTCTTATGGAAACCCCTGTATTAAGACTAGAGTTACATTCAGAAGTTTTTTTTCATTTAAGAACACAACCTGCAAAAGATAAAATTGTCCAATTATACTCTACAATTTTAGTGAGCAGTTACAGCGTACACATACACATAAACATACATCCAATTCTCACTCTCAAAGGATTTTGTAACATTTTAAAATAAACATTCTTTATAAGAATTATTATGCAATTACCCTTATATATAATTACCATGCAACTGACTTATTTTTTAATATACAAATAGCAACGCAAAATTTGAATTTACCGTGCTTTGTGGTTAACTTTTTGAGGATTAAACAACAATTTGTTTTCAGTTGCTCAAATTTTTAATGTTTAATTAGTTGACAGGATAAAAATTTGGCATGTGCTTGTGCTGAGTTCATGTCATGTTTCAAATGCAGTTACTACTAACAGTTGAATCCCACTATCTTAAACTCTCGAGGAAAATGAAAAACAGTGGGTTTAAGATGGCCAAAAGTAAATAACTGAAAAAACTTTTCCAAGGGAAAGTGATTTGAGTTCAAGATGGAGATATCTGGCTTCTAGATGAGGCAAGGTTCAAGCGTACTTAGTAGATAACTTTTTTAAAAGGTGTAAGGTGACTTGACATCAACAACCACCATTTTCAAGTCCCACTAACCAATGTATATTACAAGCTGATAATGTTATTTCCCAACTCTCTGAAACTGTCTTTCAATGATCATTAATAAAATGAACTGTCTTCTCTGGTAGTTCAAGACTTTGACAATCATCTCTTACGTCAACTGTGATTACCAAATGAAATCCATTCATCATCAGGCATTAAAAAACCAATGATCCACAGGTCTGACCGCTGTTCAAGACGATTTGCTTCGAGCAACATTAAATGCCAGAAACATCTCAGTTTATGGAATGAACAGTTTATCTTTTTCTTCTCTTGGATCCTGTACTTTTTGTTTCTGCCATGGAAGATGATAATGCTCCAGTCTCTGTTTCTCGTCTTCTTTTACTTTGCCCACCTGAACTGGCTGTGTCCTGTGATGCATCGGACATTTCATCTGCAAATAATTTGTGTCTGTAGGTGGACTTAAGGACAATGAAGTGTTCTATTAAAGTTGAAAAGGTCTACTTAACAACCTTAAAGGGCTACGGCTTTTTTAATGTCTGTTACGATAAAATAACAGCCCTGTGGTAAATGGCAATCGTGCAGGTCCAGAAAATATCCATACTCCCCCCACAAAAGGGATTAGAATTTCCTGGGGGGTGGGGTTCTGTAAGACCAAAAAATTTAAAGAAATGTGTGAAGCTTTATTGGAATTTCCAGAAGGGTGGGGTGGGGGGTCTTAGAAAAAATCCCTTCCGTGGGGGAGGTATGGATATTTTCTGGAACTACAAATTGCATCTTAATAGTTCTCTGTGATATTAGTGACAATATCTTCAGTTTAACAGAGAGTCTTGATTGGTTTATTATGTCATCTACTAGGTATCATTACTCCTACTGACCAGTGATTTCAAAGGACCTTTAACAGCTATTTCGAGAAAGGTCGTTCTACAAAAGTGTAAAATGTTATGTGACAATGCTGAAAGGTACTATGGGTGGAAGTAGTTTTTCTCATTGATCAAAATTCAAGATGCAAAAAGAAGGAAAAACCATTGAATATTTTTATCATTTTTACAACTATTGCCCTACAACACTGTGAACTTTGATCAACTAGCAGTAAACTACCACCAAAAGTACCATTCAGTATTGTGGCGTAAGTTTTTACACTTTTGTAAGACAACCTTTCTTGAAACAATTCTATGTACTGAGTTTTGGAACATTAACATTCTCGAGTCAGAACACATGGTATAATGCGATCTTTGGTATCAAAGAACAAGGGTTAATCAAAAGTGCTTTAAGATTACTTTAAATAAAAGATACTGCTCAAGGTTGAGCTCTTGTCGTAGCACTCCTGTAAGAAGTACTTCGGCACTAACCACAGGGATGCCAGCTTCTAGTGGCTTCTTACAAACACTTTTGTCCTCTTCACAAGAAATTACAAAAACTCTGTCATCTTTACTTCTTGGCATACTGGACAAAAACTGCAAAAAAATCAAATTAACAAACAATCGTAATTCTGCATTGGAATTCAGGTCGATACTTAACCTTAAATTTAAAGCTTTCTCAGTCAGACAAAAAAAATAATATAACTGGCAAAATTTAACGATGGTGAAGCAGACTGTTTTTCATAAGTTATGAAAAATGAATTTAGTTGGAAACATTCGACTTGATATATTGCAATGCAATAGTGTGTGAATTTCGGTGTGGAACATGGTTTGTCTGTTAGTGGACAACAGATCAGGGAGGAGATTTTCTTCAGTTGCTACCCTGTTAACTTTTCATCATTCATGATTGACTCAAGATAATTTATTACCAGCTTACTGGTAATACTTGAATGTATTTTTAATGCTACATAATAAATTAGTCTTTTTCTACATACCTCTCCTTTAGCACTTTGAATTATATCTGAAACAGAACAAACAATATTTATTTAATGATCAAAAATAATCAGACTATAAACTTGACAGTGTATTTTATTTATTTCTAATTATCCCTATTGACAGTAACTTCATGTGACCAATGCAAGTTTGGGAGAACTTGACTCAGCCTTACCCTGGCGGTGTGCCAACAACAACAACAACAATAATAATTTTTATTTTCTTTCATTGTAAAATTACATGTTACTTGGCCCGCAGATAGCAAGTGCTAATCTAGGCGGGCCATTTATCACTTATGCATAATTATAACTAGATTAATTAAATAAAAAGATGAGGGTACGAGATGACTGACATTTCAGGCTAACAACTTAAAAGTCCATAAAAGTATTTACAACATACAGTGACAAGAAAAAACTTAATTGTTCATACTGTAGTGTAGTTTACAAAATAATTTAAAATCTTTTTGAGGTTTTCAGCCATGACATGATCCTATCCTATAAGACAATACAGAGCACCTCCAAAAAGTGTGTAAACTGTACAAATATTTTTTCTTTTTTCTTTACCTTTCATTTGTGAAGGTTCTGGTTTAACTTTCTTTGTTACATGAATCTTATAACCCTCAAGCAGACCCTTTGTAAGAGCAACTTCATGGGATCTGAAAGAAAACGAATGAAACCAACATAACAATTGCGCACTGTGACTAAAAGTGTATATCAGATTATATTATTGGTTCAGAAAATAAAATAAAGTTTGTTTGTTATGACTCATTTGGAAAATAGATTCATTTATAATTGTTGACCAATGTTTACCGTATTAGCTATAAATGAAACATAGAAACGCTCACAAACCTTTGAAGAGTAAACTTATATTGCTTCTCTGCATCTTGATCTTTGACAAAAAATGGCGAGGTGTCTGTTGACAAAATAAAAGTGAAAGCACATCTTGAGAATTTATAGCCCCACAGCAAAAATGTGTTAGATCCGGAGATGCAGGGATGAGTAAGAAAGCATTGGAAATAATGATAGGGGTGGCAAATAGTCCTTCAAAAACCCATGGGTCTTGCAAAATTTTTTGACAAATTTCACCGGTCTTGCAGTCTCTTTTTTTAGTGGTTATTTGTGTCCCACAGTCCTGATTTTTTCACAAAGCAGGTCTTGGAGTCTCAAGGCTAAGAAAGTCCCGATTTATTTGTTTGATTGTCTTTATAAATGAGGACTGTACATCTAATGCTTGCATTTAAAAGTCAAAATGTGTCTTGGGCTTGCAAAGAAAAACACTAGTCTTACCTTCTTGCAAAGTCTCACATTTACCATGACCACCCATAATGATTAGCTACATGCCATAAAGAGTTGCTATTACAGTGACTGTAAATGTAAAGCTTACCAACAAAACTCTTTGCCTTTTTACAAGCATCCAGCCATGAAGGCAAAACAATAACTTGCCCACTAGCTAGGCCACATAGGAACTTGACAGTACGTCGCACCTATGAAAGAATTTCCAAAGATCCATCATTAACATATACCTATAATTTTATAATTGCAATGACAATGCAGCTATATTCATAAAATGTGGATGATAAAAAGACTGGGGGAATAGGTAGGGGAAAGTTTGAACAATATGCCAAGAAAGTCGTGTCTGATATCCCAGGGCTACTGAATTATGCAGTCGAGCTAGTAGTGGATTAATCTGCTTGCCCAAACAGCAAGAGAACCTTTTGGAGAAAAGTTTTGAGAAAATTTAAATTACAAATAAAGTGCTGTAAGAGATGAAGTTATTGTTTAAGTATTAATTTAATTTAAATGTAGAAATGACATCAACTTGGAAAAAAATCTGAGTTCCAGATGGGATTTAACCCCACAATCCTCCATGATCTAGCCAGACACTCTAACCACTGAGCTAGTGGAGGCTCTATGGTGGGCAGGGGTGAAATGTGGGTCTTTGACTGGAACCGCATCGTGCAGTCACACAGCCAAATAATGACTAAATAATATTTAATTTATTGTTACTGTAGTACCAAATTATTCTTTTGCACCCAGCAAATGTTTCAATCCCCCTACCCCCATTATTATTATTTTTTACATCACAGGAAAAGCTCCATGAACCCCCCTCCCCCCACCCCCC